ATCATGTATGATGCAATACCAACTTCAGATTGCATCATTCATTGCTTTGCCTAAAAAGCAAGTACTGTCCAATCCCAATCATGGATTTATTCACAGATCCAGTCAAAGATGTATTTTAGTCATTTCTGGTTTAAATTGAGATCCCTTCCCTTTATAGCTCACTTATCCTCCGCCATTCCCAAGTCAAGGGTCGTATATACTGACCCAATAGCATATCTTGAAAACTAGAGCCAATCAACAATTTTAAGCATCATTTTCGTTCTCAGTAATCCAGAATTAGTAAAGTTTGACTACATTTATTTCAGAAGCATTTTGGCTGTAGAGCAGTGTATTCTGCAATTTTTTTCTCCTTTCAATCAGCTCCAATCAGTTATTTACATTTCAAATGGATTAAGAACTCCAACTGCTTATTTCTGAAGCTATAGAAAGAGAAAATGTTTCAAAGAAGATTTCAATATGGTTTAAGGGAAAATTTAATGTCACTCTCAGAAACCCTGCCAACATATGATAAGCTAAAAATTCAACCTGCTGCACACAAGAAGTCATAAGAAAGAACCAGGACCTCTTTGGGGAACAGTGGTCTCTATACCATCTTCTCTTAAACAGTAGGATGAGACATCCCCCAACCAGACAGCGCAATAGTCCAGGGTCCTCTGAGACAAATTAAAAAAAAATAAAATAAAACCTCAACTAGAACCAGCAGTTAACCCAGTGGCATCCGCAAGCAAAACTCACCTTCCACAGTAACATCAGCTTCTGGCAAATGCTTGAGCAAACAGATAAGCCTTATTATACATCCTGACGGTTAACATAACCAGGCTATTATGGAACAAGGATGGGGAGAATAGGTTCAAAAGCCAAGTACTTCTTTTTGAGAAAAAGAGTAGAGCATTCTCTAAGCAAGGGAGGTCCTGCTTGAATGCCTCTGCTGATCATAACTATGGCAGTCTGACATACAAAATGGTAAATGACTGCCTAGGAAGGAGTAATGCAGAAAGTGATCGGGTGGGTCACAGTGGACCATACGCTAAATATGAGTCAACAGTGAAACACTGTTGCAAAAAAACAAAAAAACCCAAAACCCCACACATCATTCTGGGATGTATTAGCAGGACTGTTGTAAGTAAACCACAAGAAGTAATTCTTCTGCTCTACTCCACGCTGATTAGGGCTCAACTTGAAGACTGTGTCCAATTCTGGGTGCCACATTTCAGGAAAGATGTGGACAAACTGGAGAATGTCCAGAGAAGAGCAACAAAAATGATTAAAGGTCTAGAAAACATAACCTATGAGGGAAGATTGAAAAATTTGGGTTTGTTTAGTCTGGAAAAGAGAAGACTGAGAGGGGACATGATAACAGTTTTCAAGTACATAAAAGGTTGTTACAAGGAGGAGGGAGAAAAATTGTTGTTCTTAACCTCTGAGAATACGACAAGAAGCAATGGGCTTAAATTGCAGCAAGGGAGGTTTAGGTTGGTCATTAGGAAAATCTTCCTAACTGTCAGGGTGGTTAAGCACTGGAATAATTTGCCTAGGGAGGTGGTGAAATCTCCATCATTGGAGATTTTTAAGAGCAGGCTAGACAAACATCTGTCAGGGATGGTCTAGATAATACTTAGTCCTGCCATGAGTGCAGGGGACTGGACTAGATGACCTCTCAAAGTCCATTACAGTCCTATGATTCTATGACATGGAAAGCGGTTCTCTCTCAAATAGGCAGCCCTTTACAGGTCAAAACCAACACCTTAAATCAGAGTATTTAGACTGAAATTCAGCCTGCTAGGTCTCATCTGTGCCCCAGTCTCTCACAAACATTGGATTTGGCATTCAAAGCCACTAGCTATTGTGTTCTGTATGTAAAAAACAAAACACAAATTCTCAGATTTAGGAAAAGGGATACAGAAGCTCTTCCAAACAGAAAAACAAGATCTTAAAGAAAAAATAAGAACAAGATAAAAATCTGTATAAAAGCAAGACAACTTATCTGCAGACAACTTTATCATCACATAGTAAAAACAATAAAATACAACTTTTGAACAGATGAGAGACCAGCCTTTTAATCTCTTATCAAAGTTTTCTCACCTGTCATCCTTCGTGCGCCAGCATTCTGCAGTCACTTTCTTTTTGGTCTTTATAACTGGAAACCGAAAACAGAACAGATCATCTTTCCAGATAGGATTGCACAAGGAGGGAAGCCTCAACAAGGTTAAAGTCAGGAGTTAATTATTTGTTTAACTGTAGTGCCTAGGAGACCTAGTCATAGGCAGGACCCCATCGTGCTAGGCACTGTACAAACACAGAACAGGGAAATCCCAGTTTAGAGAGGATATACTATCTAATCAGTCACTAATCTTCCACTCAGTAGCCACTTCCAACAGGATGGATTGATTTAAATCAAAGCAATTTAAATCAGCAAGCAAGAAACATTATTTAAATCAATTTTAATCTTGTTTTGCATTTGTACTTTTTAGTTATTTTCCTAAGGAAAGGCTGATTCTCATTAGTCGATTGCCAATAAAATATGTCAATTTGCAGCTAAAAATAGCCTTAATACATCATTCTGTTTCACTCTGTAGTTGCTTAACACTTCTGCCTTTGCTACATCATGAACAATTTTACCATCTCCATCTAGAACACTGTTAGGATTCCTTTCCTTCCTGATATATTTAAACTCTTTAACACAGTCAGCCATGGATTTTCCTCCCAATTTCTTTGGGTTCCCTTATCAAGTTTCTGCACTTCATAAATTCTCATTTATATTGATTGCTATCTACTGCACCTATTCCCCATTTGTAATATAGGTTTTTTAAGCACAGTGCTGGCAGTGCCAAGGTCAGTTTATAGAACCTAGAAGAAGGTTTTGTAGCTGAGGAAGACTGTTTAAGGGTCTGCATGAACCCCTGCCTGGTACCTCAGGCAGTTCAGCTGATTTCACCCAAAGAGATTCCCAACAGGAGGAAAGCCTGGAGTCTAAGGTGATATTCCCTAAGGGTTTACAGTGTGTAAGCCCAGTAAGCATCATATCTGTCTGGGGGGTGCACTTCTCCCAGACTGCAGAGACAGTGGAATGGGCAACCTGAAAAAAACCCAAACAAAACAAAATACCTTATCCCAGGGCAGCAGGCACACTGTTTGAAGCCTTTTAGTGTGTGTGTGTGTGGGTGGGGGGTGGGGGGGGTTTATTGACTGGTACACACCAAAAAAGGGTAAGATTACCATAAGTCTATACTGGGGGGGGAAAAAACGGAAATAACTAGAACTAGATACACTAAAGAATTACTCTATGACAGAATCAGACAGCTCTGAATTTCCTTGAAGCTGCAGTCTTTGGCAGATGACTTGAATTCCATGAGTGGAAATATGTAGATGTTCCCCATAATGTGTGTTCTCTTCCCTTTATCTCTGTGTCACTTACTTAGGCCCTGATCCTGCAGACAGTTACATAACATCAGTATGCTATATAAGTGAGTAGTCACATTAAATTTGATTGGACTACTCATGTAGCAATACTAGGAACTTCGACTGCAAACTTCCAAAGTAGACTCCTGTCATTATTATGTCTGCAAAGTACATTGCACGTTTTGGTGGCTCTGTTTGAATAAAACAAACTACACCTCTACCTCGATATAACGCTGTCCTCGGGAGCCAAAAAAAATCTTACTGCGTTATAGGTGAAACCACGTTGAACTTACTTTGATTCACAGGAGTGCGCAGCCCCGCCCCCCTGGAGCACTGCTTTACCGCGTTATATCCGAATTCGTGTTATATCGGGTCGCGTCATATCGAGGTAGAGGAGTATTAAAAACTGTTAAGGATGCTCAACTGAATATTGCACCATAATAGTGCCAGTAAATCTTTAGTTAAGTCCTCAGCCATCCTTTGCAATCTATAACCATTCTATTAATTTCAGATTTTTATACTGTCCCATCACAGAGTATGGGGTGGTCTCATTTCGCTTAACCGTGATTTTGCCTCTCCACATTACTTCACCCACCCCAAACATACTTCTACCCTCCACCTCCACTTAGTAAGTGCAACTTTTAACTGACTACATGAAGTAGATAGAAACTGATGTTTTCTAATTGTTCAGAATATTGAATTAGCATGGTGTTGCATTAGAAGGCACAGCTTTTTAGTAGATGTTAGTGTTGTGTTTGATAGAGGGAATTTTAGAGGAAATAATTTGTTGTAGTGTGTCATTTAGGTTTGTAACACTGTTATTTAGGAGCTGCAAGTGCAGCAAGGTGTTTTGATGTACACAGTTGGAATGGAAATGTGCAGAGGTTGCCCTGATATAAAAGTCATTTTTCTACAGTACCTCTCCCACTACACTATTTAGAATAAAATGCCATACAGTAGAACCTCAGTGTTACAAACACCAGCGTTACAAACTGATCAGTCAACCACACACCTCATTTGGAACTGCAAGTATGCAATCAGGGAGCAGAGGAGACACACACACACAAAAAAAAGGCAAATACAGTATAGTGTTAAATGTAAACTACTAAAAAAAATAAAAGGAAAGCAGCACTTTACTGCATAGCAAAGTTCATAGGATATCTCCATATATTATTATTATTAATATTACTATCTCCTAGAACTGGAAGGGACCCTGAAAGACCATCAATTTCAGCCCCCTGCCTTCACTAGCAGGACCAAGTACTGATTTTGCCCCAGATCCCTAAGTGGCCCCCTCAAGGACTGAACTCAGAACCCTGGGTTTAGCAGGCCAATGCTCAAACCACTGAGCTATCCCTCCCCCCTTTAAGTCAATGTTTAGTTGTAAACATCTGAAAGAACTATAACACTTTATTCATAGTTACGAATAACCTCCATTCCCGAGATGTTCTTAACTTGGAGGTTCTTCTGTACTTGCATGACATGTGCTTATTGTATGGCATAGGATGTCAGCTATACAATTAAGACACATTGATCTTTTTTGGTGTGTATAATACAATTGCTTACTGTTAAATTTGTCATTGGAAAATTGAATGTTAATAGTCATGTAGATTTTTGTTTGGAAACCATGAACTTTAAAAGGTATTCTATTTTTATATAGGTTTAAGTAAAGGCACCTAGACAGACCTTCCCAAAACCCTTAGAAAATGTGGCACCTTAAAGACTAACAGATTTATTTGGACATAAGCTTTCATGGCTAAAAAAAACCTCACTTCTTCAGATGAACGAAAGCTTATGCACAAATAAATCTGTTAGTCTTTAAGGTGCCACCGTACTCCTTGTTGTTTTTGTGGATACAGACTAACACGGCTACCCCCTGATACTTAGAAAATGTGTATACTGCTATGGCAAACTACAAATAAAACGTAGGTATGTTTTATTTTGCTTCTTTACAAAAAGGCCTAAAAAGTTTTACTGTGTTATGCATGTGTTTTAAACATGCCTTCAGATTTTCTCCTTCAGACATAATTTACATCACTACCTGACATACAGTTATGTACAGCTTCTAAAATCTTCCCTCAGTCCAACTCTCTAATTGAATCATTTATTGTGTACAGAGCTGGCGTCTGCAGGATAAATCCACACAACAAAATACGAACACTACAGCATTAATCAAGTATCAGAGGGGTAGCCGTGTCAGTCTGAATCTGTAAAAAGCAACAGAGGGTCCTGTGGCACCTTTAAGACTAACAGAAGTATTGGGAGCATAAGCTTTCGTGGGTAAGAACCTCACTTCTTCAGATGCACTTCTTAAAGGTGCCACAGGACCCTCTGTTGCTTTTTACAGCATTAATGGTTTGGACTCACAATCAATCCCAGATCTTCTCCCACCTTTCAGGCTGCCCTCCCCCATGTTCCAGCTGTCACTCATGAGTTTCCTCTCCAACACACACTCGTCCCTCCCACCCCAACACCGAATCTCTTGCCCTCACTTCCTTCACAACTGCATCAGCCCCTCGCAAATTGGCAAGGTATGGGAAACATTAATCCTGCAAATTTACCTACTTTGCCCAGTCCCGTGGGGGGGGTTCCTTGTCCCCAAACAGGTGTTGCCTTGTCTGTCATCCTCGGTGTCGGAGGACAAGAGCAGCAGTCTCTGTACAGAGGCCCCATCAGGACCAAGGTTGGAAACCGGAGGGATGCTGACCAAGGGTCTGGGGGCTCCCAGCTGAAAGGGGAAAACAACAGAGAATGACCTAGGCCTAAAGCGAGCCCAGCTGCTTCTCATGCCCGCACGGGGCCCGGCTCCGGCTCCCACTACTCCCTCAGGAGGGCCTGGCTCCCTCCCGCGTCCCCCGCGATTTCCCGGCAGGGCCCGTCTCCGGCTCCCTCCCGCGTCCCTGCTCCTCCCCCTCCGACTCCCCAGCTTCCCGCCCAGCGGGCCGGGCCCGGCTCGCGCCGTTCCTCGACAGCTCTTCACCCCCACAATTCCCTCACCCGGACGCGCTGCCTGGGCCCGCGCGCCATCCTCGCCTGGAACCCGCCGCTGCTACGTTCAAACCTCCCACCCGCCCCTCTTCAGCGCAGCGCCACCACGTCCGGGGCGGTACTTAACCCTGCCGCTCTGGTCGCGCATGCGCCAGGGGAAGCCCGAACTGCACCTCGAATCGCCGCAGCCCTCGCCCGCGCCCCGAAGAGCCCAGTGGGCGCAGCTGCTGCGACCCCGCCCCCGCGAGGAATCTGGCGCCAGCCCAGAGCCGGAACCGCCCCCCAGCGCCAGCTCCCAGGGACCGTGGCCGCCCTCCCCCAGCCACTGAGCGCGCGCGCCCAGCGCATCTTCCCGCGCGGAGACCCGCTCCCGCCGGCGCCAGAGATTATAACAAAAACACGTTGTTTGCAGTGCTCTTCAGTTGTAGTCATAAGATGTCTTTTTATTAGGCAGTTAGCTGGAAACAAAAGCCTGTTACAATAAGCAAAGCAGCAGTGAAAGCAGCAACGTCCCACGCCAGGAACAAAGCTCAACGGGCACCCCCAGCAAGTCTCACCTATGCAGAGCACGCCACCGGTGAAAGTTAAGTGGGCAGTAGCCCACAAAAGCTTACGCGCTAATAAAGTTGTTAGTCTCTAAGGTGCCACCAGTACTCCAGTTCTTTTTTTAGTTCAGCTTTGTTTCAGGGGTAGTAACTTGCAGCAGCAATTCTTAAGGTGCTACCATCTTTTCATTTTTACGGGTTTAAACTAGGTAGTTTCAATTGTCCAAAGCTATAAGGCTGGGCTTTTAAAGAGTAAAATTTATAAATGTGCATGCTGGTTGTGGACAAGGGGTGTAGCCATGGTTGGTCGAGGCTGTCTTTTAGTGGAGCAACTTTCTGTTAGTGAAAGTGATAAGCTTACATAGCACTCCTCTTCATGGGGAACCAGAGTATCAACACAGCAACAAAACAGCCCCTAGTACAGGCTAGCCACAGGTTCTTCAGTGCTATGTCAACATACCCTCTAATCTCAAAAGTTTCTCTCTCTCACCCCCAGAAGTTGGTCCAATAAAAGGTATTACCTCGCCAACCTTGTCATTTCTGGTTAGAAAATGACACGTAAGATTTCTTGTTCAGGAATTAGCAGGTGGTAAGACTCTACCAGAAAACTAGGCATCCTACACTAAGCATTCAGCACCTAGGGTACATTCAAAAGCATCAACTGAGACAGATAAAAGGTGCATCAAAAGCAGCACTTTGAACACAGTTCTCTGTTGCTGCACTAGAAGACAAATTGTTACCTGTTACTGAATAGATGTGTGTAGCACACTTAGCAAGACTGACATTGATTAGTTTTAAACTGCAGTCCATGACCCTCCGCACAGATTTAAGAACAAAATTACTTACGGTAATTCATGCTTGTTCAATACAAAACTCAGCATCAGAGTTTACATACAGCCCATGGCCTCCAAGTTACCACATATCAGTGAGATAATGACACCCCCACATTAAGAAAAAAGCCTTTCTGGGTGGTCCTTAAATACTGCAATAATTAATTATATATATAACTGCCCACTTGAGAGCTTTTCAGAGTTGGAATACTTTTTTTTTATAAACATTAATATACTTGATGCAGATGTTTAGTAGATGAAAATCTATACTTACCTGGGATTTCATTTCTGCTGAAATGAATAGAACTATTTAAAAGCCAAGCTATGGAAAGGAAGGTAAAAGGCCAGCAGCCCAGAACATTGTTTTGACAGCAGCACAGAAGGGGTAGTAAAGGCGAAACGCTGGTCAAATGGGTCAAACTGGGCAAACCAGATCTTTATTTTAAAAAAAGTCCTTGCTACAGTACATAGGACTGTGCCTCTGTACATAATTAACAATCATTCCTGAAGGATTTGTATTTGGCACCAGTTTGTTTATTTCAAAACAGTTCAGGGGCATTAATTTTAAACCAATTTTGTTTTTCAACAGAATAGGAGCTGTCATCATGAAGCCAATTAGCTGAGATACAGGAGAATTTTTTTTTTTTTTTTTAAACCTAAGCACTGAGTTCTCATCTAAATCAACACAGTACAGAAAGTTCCAAAACAGAGGTCAAACATTAAAAGGCTGATATAGGCTCAAGTGGTTTATAAAACCTGTAAAAAGACTACACCAGCAAATATGCCCTTTCAATCTGCACAGTTAAGAAGTTAATGCAGGGAGCAACACTCACTAGTTGGAAATCATGTCATGGAAGAATCGCACATATACCAACAGGAACACCTGAAATCAAACATTAAAAAGCTCCAATTCCCAATCCACATAAGAGGAGAGAAATTCATAGGAAGATTGAATCAATCCATGAAATCACAATTGGATGGACAGTTCACACTTTCCCCATCAAGCACCAGGCCTTGCAAACATACAGTACATGTGCACAACCCAATCTTTTTCAAACTCCTTATGGAATAGAAAGTTCCCAATCTCTACAGCCTCTCCCTATTATGCACAAAGTATGTCTGTCTGTGCTCTTAAATCACCATCATGTATCACTTCAAGTCACAGAGTACCAGGCAGATTAAGTAGAAATGCACTGTCTTTAGCTCCCATCTCCTTTGCAGAGGAGTTTGAGAGGCTCAATTCTGGGAGAGTTGTGTCAGCAGAGTCCTTCATGCAGATTCACTGGTCTCTATTGGCTTAACCATATGGTCTGGTTTGTTGCCAGCAGCGTAGTGATCCCACATCTGAAGGTAAAGCCGCTCCAGTTCCATTGTGTACTGTTTGGTGTTGAACAAAGGACTTGATATTCTCTGCTTCCAGACTTTACTACGAATTTTCTTCAGGCTACACAAAGAGTTAACAGCAAGCAGTCAGATGAGAAGTAGACACAGGAACAAACGGTTATTATGATCTATTACCTCAACTAACCCAGAACTCTCAACACACCATTGCTTCAGCAAATCCCTTTATTGTCATCCCCCTACCCAAAATCCATGTTGTTGCTCCTTCCCCAATGTGGAACAGTTAACTTCACAGAAACTCAACTTTTTCATTGTAGGTGAAAATGCTATGGACATTTGTGTTAGTACTGCTACATGCTAATTAACCAGACCCACCAACCCTTTGATACAGCCCCATCGGATGGAATTTCCCCAACTGCAAGTGCCCCTTTATTTCAGTCTAGGTTTTTCTTTCTGAAAGGAAAGTGAAAATGCATTTTGTTTGAGTTTACTTTCTGCAGAAGGTTCAATATGTCAGCATTCCTATCTCCCTTCCAGCAGCTGCACAAAGTAAACTGTAATCTCCAGACAGAAGGTTCTTTATTACTTTGTAGCTCCACAGGGAATCAGAAAAGGGGAAAACATGAAAAAATGACCATGTCTAATTTCAATAGATTTGGTCAATCCTTAACACTCAGGCCATTAACAATGACTATGTGGATACACTACCAAGAAGCAGAGTGATCAGGAGCAGTGATTACAAGGTTAGGATTAAGTAAGGTCTGAGTTCTAATTCCAGCTCTGCCAATGTCTCAGTGTGATATCCTGCACATGATGTTCAATCTCAGTCTCTAGATCTGTAAAGTTACAATTACTTCATAGGGAATACGTTGAGGGTTCCTCAATCCTGGGAGGGCTAGTCAATGATTGTGTAGTAGTGATCTGAACATGCAAAGAGCCAAGTATTTTTAGGGAGGACAAGTGCATACTTTGGGCATTTCATGATACTCACCCATCTGAACATGCCACGCCCCATTCTAGTATAGTTCCCTCCCACATCTGCCTTCCTAGCTCCTATTATGGCTATTTAAAGAGCTCAACCCTCCCTGAGAAGGCAGCCTGTCTCTCACACCCCGCCCACTCTCTTCAGCATGGAGCCCTGGGTCTGTGCAAGAATCCCTCCACACACACACTTTGCCTCCAACCCTGGCCTCTATTGAAGGCATATATTGCTCCCTTCTGCTGCTTCGCGGTATGAGAATACTAGATCCAAGAGAGTAGTTTTTCACCCCAGATGGGACTTACATATATGGAGATATACCCATCTCATAGAACTGGAAGGGACCTTGAAAGGTCATGGACTCCAGTCCCCTGCCTTTACTAGCAGGACCAGTTTGTGCCCCAGATCCCTAAATGGCCCCCTAAAGGATTGAACCCACAATCTCTGGTTTAGAAAGCCAATGCCTTATCCATTAGGCCACTGGGGCCCTTCCCCCCAACAGAGTAGGGAGGAGGAGAGGAGGTAATTCCCTCAGGGCACATTGCAGATATGAATTCTAGCCCAATTCCTCATTCCAATGAGCACAGACCTTACTTCCTCATCAGCAAAGCAGTTTAGTGGCTACTTCAAAACCCTGGAGGTCAGTCAGCTCCCAAGGTAACAAACAGCGGGTAACTTCATCAGTCAAAGTAAGTTCAACAAAACTAAAGTAATGACATGCCTCACTGCTTAGAGCCGTTTATATTTATGTTTATTCCATTTTGCTTCCTAACACTCACTATCCCTAATAATGGTGCCTTAATGTTCTAGATCTTCATTTCATCCTCCAAACTAGATGTACTTACTATTCTAGATCAGTTCCCAGTTTAACAGCAATATCTTCATATTCTTGTCTACTCTTAGCAATAAGTTCAAGACAACCAAGGCAAGTAAGCTGGGAGGCAGCAACCCGTGATGCAAGAGTTTCCCCTGTAAAAAGAGAAAAAGTGATAACCAATACTCCTTCTTGATGCTTTACAATTTACTTAATTTTTTTCTCCTGCCTGAGAAAATACATAAGGGGAGGTTGCTACACTGATTATCTGTTCTGGAAAGCCTGCCCACTAGCTAGAACTGGGATGCACTTAATTTCTTTACTATCTATGACAAACGTGGGCAAACTACGGCCCGTGAGCTCCCGGCTGGGGAGGCTAACCCCCGGCCCCTCCTCTGCAGCCAGGCTGCCAGCGCTCTGGACGGCAGGGTTGCACACTTTGGCCGGGCGGCGCGACAGCATGACTGGCGTCGGCCGGGCGGCCAGACATGCTGCTCTGAGCGGCATGGTAAGGGGGCGGGGGCTGGGGGGTTGGCTAAGGGGCGGGGGGTCCCTGGGGCAGTCAGGGGACAGGGAGCAGGATGCAGTTGAATGGGGTGGAGATTCTGGGGGGGGCGGTCATGGTTGGATAAGCATGAGAGTCCCGGTGGGCTTGTCATGGGGCAGGGATGTGGATAGGGGTCAGAGCAGTCAGGGGACTGGGAGCAGGGGGGTTGAATAGGCATGGGGTCCCGGGGGGCCTGTCAAGGGGCGGGGGTGTGGATAGGGGTGGGGGCTGGGAGCAGGGGGGTTGGATAAGGGGTGGGGTCTGGGGGGCGGTTAGGGGACAAAGAGCGGGGGGGGATGCATGGGTGGGTGGAGAGTCTGAGGGGGACGGTGGCCAGGCTGTTTGAGGTTGGCACAGCCCTCCGTACCCAGCCCTCCATACAGTTTTGCAGCCTCAGTGTACCCTTCGGGCCAAAAAGTTTCCCCACCCCTGATCTATGAACTCTTCATACTAGATAGTTACATATACAAGATAAAAATAAAAACAAGAAGGATTGAAGGTCTATAACAATTACATTCAATATGAATTGTCACCACGTGGCTACAATCTTGTTTCCCTGAGACATTACCTGGCATAGTAACCATGGGAGTTCCAGCCCAGAGTACATCCATCCCAGTAGTGTGCCCATTACAAAGTGGAGTATCTAGACAAACATCAGCCAACTGGCCCCTCCGCACATGTTCCTCTTTGGGGGCAACAGGAGAGAAGATGATTCGGTTCTGGGGAAGGCCCATGTTCTGTGCATATTGTTGAATATTGGGTTCTCCTACAGCGGGGAAACGCAACAGCCACAATACGCTATTTGGAACTCGCTTCAGAATCTACAAACAAACCAGGAAGAAAATAAAGGGTGAGTGTGTAAAAAACATTCAGAAGCATCACCCTCCTGGATAGATCAGAACAAGCTAATAGTGGCAGGAAATAATAGAAATGTATGACTGGAAGGGACATAGATAGGTCATTTAATCCAGTCCTCTGCACTGAGGCAGGTCTAAGTACTATCTAGATTATCCCTGACAGGTGTTTGTTTAACCTGTTCCTAAAAGCCTCCAATGACTTAGATTCCACAACCTCCCTAGGTAATTTGTTCCGGTGCTTAACTACCCTGATGGTTAGGAAGTCTTTCCTAACGTCGAACCTAAATCTCCCTTGCTGCAATTTAAGCCCATTGCTTCTTGTCCAGTCCCCAGTGGTTAAGGAGAACAATTTATCATGCTCCTCTTTATAACAACCTTTTATGTACTTGAAGACTTAGGTCCCCTCTCAGTATTATATTCTCCAGATTGAAAAGATTGGGTTTGTTTAATCTTGCTTTGTAGGTCATGTTTTCTAGACCTTTAATCTTTTTTGTTGCTCTCCCTCTTGACTTCCCTACATCTTTCCCCAACTGTGGTACCCAGAACTTCACACAGTACTCCAGCTGAGGCATTATCAATAAGTGCGGTCTTGTCTTGCTTACAACACTCCCGCTAATACATCCCAGAATGACATTTGCTTGTTTTGAGTCAACAATGTAATACTGTTGCAAAACAAGCAAACAACATTGTGGGATCTATTAGCAGGAGTGCTGTAAGCAAGACAGAAGATGTAATTCTTCCACTCTACTCAGCACTGATTGATAAAGGCTTAGCTGGAGTACTGTGTGCGCTTCTTTCCCCAACTGTGGTTATTAGAGGTGGACCAACTAGAGCAGCAGTTCTCAAACTGTGGGCTGGGAACCCAAAATGGGTGGCAACCCCGTTTCAATGGGGTGTCCTGGGTTGGCAACAGACTTGCTGGGGACGGGTTGAAGCCGAAGCCCAAGGGATTCACGCTCTTCCTTCCGCACCCCCATCCTCCGTTGGCAGGTCTGGGGCCTCGGCTCAGGCTTCAGTCCCCCCTCCCAGGTCATGTAGTAATTTTTGTTGTTAGGAGGTCGCAGTGTAATGAATTTTGAGAACTGCAGAACTAGAGGAAGTAAAGAGAGAGAACAAAAAAGGACTAAAAGTCTAGAAAACGTGACCTACAAGGAAAGGCTGAAAAAGCTGGATTTGTGAAATGCCTCACTTTCAAAATGGAAGTGAAAGTCAGTCACACAATGTGTCAAACAGTAAGTGCTAGCTTCTGGGATACGACCTGAAGAGCAGAGTGGATACAGCATGCACCTCTCGTTTTGCTTTTTTACCACAGTTTAGGTGAAAGTCATGTTTGCCAGTTAATTTTAATAAGACAAACAGCAGCACACAGGGGTGTGTACCCACAGCAGATGAAACGACGAGGTGAATTTAGCATTGATGAAAATGCTGGATTCACAGCCTTGGAGATTAAAGATTCCAATTTATTTACAGGGAGCACTATACAGTAGTGCATAAGAACGGCCATACTGGGTCAAACCAAAGGTCCATCTAGCCCAGTATTGTGTCTTCCGACAGTGGCCAATCCCAGGTTCCCCAGAAGGAATGAACAGAACAGGTAATCAAGTGATCCATCCCCAGTTGCCCATTCCCAGCTTCTGGCAAACAGAGGCTAGGGACCCATCTCTGCCCATCCTGGCTAATAGCCATTGATGGACCTATCCTCCATGAACTTACCTAATTCATTTTTGAACCCTGTTATAGTCTTGGCCTTCACAACGCCCTCTGGCAAGGAGTTCCACAGGTTCACTGTGCGTTGTGTGAAAAAATACTTCCTTGTGTTTGTTTTAAACCTGCTGCCTATTAATTTCATTTGGTGACCCATAGTTCTTGTGTTATGAAGAGTAAATAAACTTCCTTATTTACTTTCTCCACATCAGTCATGATTTTATAGACCACTATTATATTCCCCCCTTAGTCATCTCTTTTCCAAGCTGAAAAGTCCCAGTCTTATTAATCTCCCCTCATACGGCTGTTCCATGCCCCTAATAATTTTTCTTGCTCTTTTCTGAACCTTTTCCAATTCCAATATATATTTTTTTGAGAATGGGCGACCCCATCTGCATACAATATTCAAGATGTGGGTGTACCATGGATTTATATAGAGGAAATATAATATTTTCTGTCTTATTATCTATCCCTTTCTTAATGATTCCCAACGTTGTTTGCTTTTTTGACTGCCTCTACACAGTGAGTGGATGTTTTCAGAGAACTATTCAAGATCTCTTTCTTGACTAGTAACAGCTAATTTAGATCCCATCATTTTATACGTATAGTTGGGACGGTGTTTTCCAATGTGCATTACTTCGCATTTATCAACAGTGCAAAGCTTCCTTACAGTGCCTCATCAGTATGCCTCAACATAAGAGCAGCCATACTGGGTAGGACCAAGGGTCCATCTCGCCAGTATCCTGTCTTCCAACAGTGGCCAATCCTAGGTGCGTCAGAGGGAATGAACAGAACAGGTAACACTGGTCTACAATTTTTGAGAAGTTGTCTGCTTCAGAGATAAAATGTGCTCTTTATTATGTATTTTGATGTGCTGAATTC